GTTCATTTTACTCCCTTTTTTTTATTTTTTTTATTTTAATTACGTATTTTTTTTAACAATATAAGGAATGAAATATATTACAACTTAAAATTGGTTAATCTAAAATTACGTAAAATTTTATATAAATTATTTCATTTATATATATAAATGATGTGAGACAAATATCCTACAATTGAGAAAGGAAAATTTTGCACTATTTTACGGTGCTTTATTTTAAAAAAATTTACTAATTGACTTAAATTTCTCAACAGGCCACATTGTGGAGTGCAGGTTACTAGTTAAATATAAAATTCGTACCTTTATAATGTTAAATAATTAATTTTTAATATATTAAAAAAATATTTGATTTTCTTGGCAACCTTATCTCCCGCCGACAGGGGTGACCCATCTGCAATGCATTATTATATTTGTGAACTTAATTCCTCATCTTGAAATGAATAAATTAATGAGTAAATTGAGATTTATCTATTATGATCCAAATTATTATAATTTCAGACAACGAATTAGCTTTCAAAATGTAATTTTCCTTGGATAAAATGTACAAGAAAAGACAAAAAAGAAAGAAAAGGTGAGAGGCACTCACTGAAAAAATGATAGTCTGTAGTATAAAAAGCCAATGGTAAATCAATTTGAATCTCGACCGTCGATTTAGGAAACAAGTTGGTACAAAGGCAATAATTTTGCTTTTTCGCTTTTTCACTGATTAGGTCTAAAGCAATTCCACTACTTCTATTCTTTTCCCACCTGATCGAACTGATGAAAATAATTACTCGCCCATTCAATTATTCAATTTTATTGGTGTTAACTTTTTATTTGTTGTATTTAAATTTAATTAATTATTTTTAAGACATTATTAAATATATTTGGTAAAGCAGCGGACGCGGTTTCTTTCATTTGGTAAAGCAGCAGGTAATAAGAACATCAGCCGATCTTCATCTTTATCTGAACTCTGTCCTAGTGCTGCTCCTCTCATTCTGCCTTATAATCGTTGACGTCGCCACTCCTCGATCTCACTTTGCTGCTTTAATTTGTCATCTTCAACCTCTTCCTTGCCTCGATCGCTTTTCTTCATTCAAAACTCTGGTACATAGCATCTCATTCCCTTCCTTTATTTATTTATTTTTTTTGAATTTCCATGTTAAGTCCATCATCTGTTTCTTTTATGGATAGATTTTTCTAAGGATATTGACCAGTGAATGGTGATGATTCTCTGAAATTTAATTTTCTTTAGATCTTGACTTATATATCTTTGCACTTTATACGGTTTAATCAAGTTTAATTATATTTTGTTGTTTTACCTTGTTCTTATACATGTTTTTTATTCTTAATCTAAACTAATTATTAGTTGATAAAAAAAGTCTATAAATTTAATTATACTTTATAGATACGTTTCATTTGAGTTGGAAGAGTTAGGAAAAAATTGCGCTATTTAGTTATAGAAAGAATTAAATGAGAGAAGTTTTTTACTTCAATTTTTTTTAATAAATGAAGGGAGGAGATGAAGGGAGGAGAGGGAGAAAAATAAAATGATATAACACCGTACCCCCGATTGATCAAGGGTAGGAGGTTGTATATTGCCAGATCTAGCCGAATAATTCTAGCCCTCTATTTGAGAACATCATTCCATTTCCCTCCCTTTTGCTTCCCCCAAA